TTCGGGTCGCGACCAGAGTCGCGGAATGAATTAAGTTCGTGACCCGAGGTACCACTGTAATAAATATACATCTGTCAAGATGAATTTTAACAGGGAAGTAAAGGGAACTGCAGCTGTATTGCTATGATAGGGATTTTTTAAATGGAACTTTTCTTATCTAGATGTGAAAATCATAAGATTAAACATGCACATTACATGTTCATGTTTTAGGTACATTTCATGAATCTCTCTGGCCATAGGGAATGCCCCCACCCCCCAATTTTTAAACGTATTATTTAATTGTACACCACAATACATCCTACAGTGGTAAAAAGAACTCCAGAGTAGAAATAAAAATAATAATAGGAAAGAAAGAGAGAGAGAGAGCATACGCAGAGAAGTAACCAAACTTATTGGGACTAGAAATAGTGCTTTGTAAACTGCAGTTAGTTAAGTATCGCCTGTTTCCAGAATAAGTTTATGCACAATTACCTTCGTAGGTAATTACCTTCATAGGTAATTGTCCTGGGATAAGTTTCTGGTGTTATCTACTACACATAAAGTATTCTGTGCTTGCTTTTTATGTAGACTATACATGAGGTATAGTGTCTGAGAATTTGAGTCACTTTGCAGTTGTATCCATGACAACTGCTGTTGTGTTTATAATATGTGTTCCATAATATATGTGATTTGTACATGATTTGCATGATGCTTCTTACAGAAAAGTATGCACCATGTAAGAATTTAAAATAACCTTCATCTAAACATGTCACTAAAATGTTGTCATGGACTTTTCCATCTTGCGTGTAAGACATTTGTAGAAATAAGTTTAACAGGAAATTGTTGGTAAGAAGATAGGAATCCTTGTAATGCAAGTGTCTGCTATTTATCATATATGTCCCTACATATTGGAGGAATAGTACAACCCCAGATTCAAGAATTTGTTTCCAGTATAGTATTGATCCTGTGCATATTTCTACTGGTGACTTCTAACCTCATGGTGGCATATCCTTCTTGCCAGTGTTCTATACTTTCCCCATACCATATCTAATTCATTGCTATTAGGGGTGTGCAAAATTATTTGTATTTGAACTGTACTGAATTCGAAACACTCCATTTTCAAGGGTGAAACAGCTATTTCAAATGTAAAATGGGTTCTGAGCTTGAGATATTTTTAAAATACTCAGAACTAGCACGTTTCATCACTCTCTGATTGTATTTAGGCACGCTGGGGTTGCCCTCTGCTGCCACAAGTGAATAGAACTATTAGATTGATCCACCCTATGGAGTTTCAGAGGGAGCTTGGGGTCTTTCCTGAGGATCTAATGGGTGGTTTGATGGAGCCATTGGTCACTTCCTGGAATGGGTATGTGTCAAAGAAATTGGACTGGATTGCTCCTATGTAGCTTCTCACTGGAAGTCAATCCCAGGGAACTCCTGGTTGTCTGAAGAATTTTGGGAGGTGAAATGCCAGAAGAGATGCCAAAAGAGCCATTGGAAGAAGACAAAGAGTAAATCCAACTGAGCATGAGTAAAAACACATATTAGGGATTGCATCATGGTGATAAGGTGGGCACTTTTATCTCAGCTGCAGATAGCTGGTTCAGAGAATCTCTTTAAGGTGACTCGTTCCTTGCTAGGTAGGGATGAGCCACAGGATAATCTGGAGTGCCACACCTGGTGGATAAGGTTGCTCAGAGTTGTTTGGAGCTGTACTCCAACTGTGCAGGTCCTATTGAGGTGACAGAAGCAAGGTCTTGTATGGTTACCTGGGGTGAGTTTGAGCCAGTAACTGCTGAGGATCCTCAAGTCTACTAACCCAATTGCCTGTTTATTGGGGGCCACTCCTGGCTGATTAAAGCCACTTGGGAGATGATGTATGGTTGAGTCTGTGCAGTAATATTTCCTTCGCTGAGAGAGGGGGTGATACAGAAGCCTTTGCCGGACTGGACAGTCTTGGACAATTTTTATCCAGTCTCCAACCTTCCCTTTTTGGGAAAGATTGTTGAGAAGGTGGTCATCCTACAGTTTCAGAGAGCCCTGGAGAATACAGATTATCTAGATCCTTTTATGCCTGGTTTTATACTGGGACGTACTACTGAGATGGCATTGGACACACTTAGAGACAAGCGTGTCTCACTTCTGGCAGAGCTGGAACAGGGATAGTGCGACCATTATGGATCTCAGCATCTCTCAGTACTATCAGCCATGATATTCTTTGGGGCCACCTGTGGGGATTAGGAGTGGTAGGTACAGTGTTCCAGTAGTTCAG